GTCGTGTCCCCCAGAGACAATCACAGCGCTGTTTAAAACCCGCTTCCGCCTCGACTTCCCCTTCGACCTGCAGGAGTTGCCTGCCTTCGCCGTCATCGGGTGAGTGCGGCCGTGCACGGGCACCCATCCCACTCCCCTGCAGGACATCCTGATGGCCACGGGGACCCTGCTCCAGCCGGGCTCCCCTCGGCAGCGGTAGGGTACGGCGTAGGCGCTCACGCCGGGCCTGTGCCCAGGATCGCCAGCGGCTTCGGGGGCGCACTTTTCGTCTACCTCAACCGCAAGATCGTGCAGTTCATGCGCCGCCAGAAGACCATCAACCGCTTCCTCATGAAGAAGTAGGTCCCTGGCAGCCCTGGGGACTGTGGTCATCACCCTGGCATGGTAGGAGCGGGGAGGTGGCAGGTGTTGGGGTGCACTGGCATCACTCTCTTGCCACCCTGCCAGGCGCCTTCTTTTCCCTGCCCTGGTGACACTGCTCATCTCCACATTGACCTTCCCCCCCGGCTTCGGACAATTCATGGCTGGCCAGGTACCCACAGCGCCCTGCACCTGCTGTGCCCACCGTGGGGCTAAGGGGCAGCACAGCAGCCCCCCTGCACAGGCAGTGCCTGCCCCCGCCTCACCCCTGCCCCTCGGCAGCTCACCCAGAAGGACACCCTGGTGACACTGTTCGACAACCAGACGTGGGCCAAGCAGGGGCTGAGCGAGGAGTTTGAGTACATGGGCATCTTGGAGGCTTGGCACCACCCCCGCTCCAACATCTTCGTCACCCTCATCGTCTTCATCCTCATGAAGGTGCGTATGTCCTGCATGTGCCAGTCCAGGGCACTGGTGGGTGTCCTCATGTGCCATCAAGGAGGCGCTGGCTGGGTGTTCCCAGCTTCCATCAGAGAGGTGCTTGCAGGTGTTCCCAAGGGCCAGCTGCGTTTCCCCAGGTGCCACCAAAGGAGGCATTGGCTGGGTGTCCCCAGGTGCCACCAGGGAGATGCTGGCTGGGTGTCCCCTTGGAGGAACCAGGCTGCCCCACAGCACGGTGCTGTGCCCATGTCTTGCTCTGTGGCAGGCAGCGCCGATGCTAGCTGGGGGGCACGGCTCCAGCTGGCGGGAGGCCTGGGCCGGGGTGCCAACTAACGCATGCCTGTGTCCACTGTGCAGTTCTGGATGTCAGCCCTGGCCACCACCATCCCCGTGCCCTGTGGAGCCTTCATGCCCGTCTTTGTCATCGGTGAGAGCCTGCCACCCCAGCACGTTGCCCACCACTTGGGCACACGGGAGGAGGGAGCCCATCGGCCTTGGCCCCATGTTGCAATTCATGGGGCACTGAGCTGGGCACGGGAAGAGTCGCCCTCCTCCGTGGGTCTCTGTGGGTGCCCTTCCCCTAGCAGCTCCCACAGCAAGAGGGGCACAATGTGGGTACAGGAGAGGCTGGGTTGGGCATGCGGAGAGCCCGGTGGGCACCCTGCATCCCTGCCCGGCCCTGTGGACCCCCTGCCTGCTCTGAGCCCTTTTCTGTGGGCAGGGGCAGCCTTCGGGCGTCTGGTGGGCGAGAGCATGGCGGCCTGGTTCCCGGACGGCATCCACACCGACAGCAACACCTACCGCATTGTGCCAGGGGGCTACGCCGTGGTGGGTAAGCACTGTGCCCACAGGCCAGCACAGGGAGACCATGTGCCCGCTGCACCGCTCTCTGCTCCAAAAGAGCCCAGGGGAGTGTTTCTGGGGCTTGCACAGGGCTGGAGCGGTGTCTCAAGGGATTGGGATGACCCCAGGGCAAGGGATGTCCCCAGGAGGTCCCAAAGGCTCGGGTGTCACTGGAGCTAGGGGATCTCACAGGCATGGGGGTGTCCACAGGGCTTGGGGTCTCGCTGGCGATAGGGGATCCCCCAGGGATGTCCCCAGAGGTCCTCAGGGGTGTCCTCAAGGTCCCCCAGGGACAGGGTAGGAGGACAGCCCCATGAGTAGGCAGGCAGGGACCTGACGGGTTGCCCCTGTGTCTCTCGGGGACATGCGCGGGCACAGGGGCAGCCGCGCTGTCGGGCGCCGTCACCCACACGGTGTCCACGGCCGTCATCGTCTTTGAGCTGACGGGGCAGATCTCCCACATCCTGCCCGTCATGATCGCCGTGATCCTGGCCAATGCCGTGGCCCAGAGCCTCCAGCCCTCCCTTTACGACAGCATCATCCGCATCAAGAAGCTGCCCTACCTTCCTGAGCTGGGCTGGGGGCACCACGAGTGAGTGCCACCCCTGCACCTGTCCTGTGCCATCCTCAGCAATGTCCCCAAACCCCCAGCCAGCCCTGACATGGCCCTGCTGGGCACAGGCACCTTTCCCGACCCTGCGGCCGCTGTGCTGTGGTGGGTGGCTTGGCTGTGCCTGTCTGTGCTGAGGGCACTGTGTCACCCCGGGCAGGAAATACAACGTGCGGGTGGAGGATATCATGGTGCGGGACATCCGCTATGTCACCCTCAACTGCAAATACCGGGACCTGCAGCACGTCCTGCACAGTACCAAGATGAAGAGCCTGGCACTGGTGGAGTCAGCCGGTGAGACATGGACACGGGGACAGTGGGCACGGCACAACCGCCACCCTAGGGTGGGCTCCTCTGGGATGTGCACAGCTGGGCACAGTGGGGCAGGCAGAGGGTGGCATGACTGCTTGCCTGGGGTAGGCATGGGGCTGCTTTCTGGCATGGCCATTGGGGAAACTGAGGAACGGGGGGAAGGCATCCAAGCCCCACTTCCAGAAGCTGGTGGCTTGGTGCCCAGGGTGCATAAGGCCAACATGGGCCCCTGGCTGCCGCCAGAGTCCATGATCCTGCTGGGCTCCATCGAGCGGGCGCAGGTGGTGGCCCTGCTCAGCCACCAGCTCAGCCGTGAGCGACGGCTCCAGGCCCTGCGGGAGAAGATGCTGGCAGAGCAGGCGGGCACTACCGAGGACGGGCACCAACTCTCCGACGCGGGTGTCCGCTTCCAGGTGAGGATTCTGGCAGGGTTCGGGCAGCCAGCCTGGTGCTGCCACCCTGCCCGGGGGTTGGGGACCGGATGCTGGGAGGTGGCCCAGGGGGGGCC